CGTCTTGACTGTATAAATAGAAATAAATTAATTGGCCAACTAATATAACAGAAAAAAATTAAGCCAGGGTTGGAGGGCGCGTGCCTGTAGTCCCAGCTACTCGGGAGGCTGAGGCAGGGAGGGATCCGCGGGTCCCTGCTGTGCCCCGGGGCCTCCCGCGCACCCCGCCCCAGGGAGGCGCCCCCAGGACCGAGGCCCACTCCTGCGGCGGGCTTCCCGCCGTGTCCCGTCCCCCCCAGGGGCGCTCACGGCCTCCGCGCCTGCGGTCCTGTCCCCACGCGTGTCCGCGAATGGGTCCGTGGGGGCCTCGGGTCCCCGCGGAGAGCGCTCCGCAGCGCGCGGCTGAGCCCCGGCCCCCCGCAGCTACAAGGCCTGCCTGCCGCCCCGCCTGCGCGACGCCATCCAGGGCCTGAGCTTCGTCACGCGGAGGCGCATCCGCGGGACCGTGCGCCGCGCGCTGCGCCGCGTGGCCGCCTGCCAGGCCGACCGGCACTCGCTCATGGCCAAGTACATCCTGGACCTGGAGCGGCTGGGTCCCGCGGGCGCCGCCGAGACCTTCCGCGTGGGGCTCCCGGGGGCCTCCGGGGGCCGGGACGGGCTGGGGCTGCTCCGCGTGGCCGGCGGCAGCGGCGTCGCCTGGAGCCCCGGAGGAGACCAGGTGGGGGCTGGGACGACGTGGGGGCGGGGTCTGCAGGGACGGGCAGGGAGTGGGCGGGGCCAATCGAGTGGGGTGGGGCTGGGTGAGGGGTGGGCGGGCCTTACAAGGAGGGCTCTGGGCGGGTGGGCGGGGCCGTTACAAGGAGGGGGTTGGCAGGGTTGAAGGAGGGGGCTGGGAGGGGCGGGGCCAATCGAGTGGGGCTGGGGCTGGGCGAGAGGTGGGCGGGGCTTACAAGGAGGGCTCTGGGCGGGTGGGCGGGGCTCGGGGAGAGGGTTGGAAGGGTTGAGGGAGGGGTGGGGCTCGGATGGGCGGGGCCAATGATTCGGGGTGGGGCTGGGTGAGAGGTGGGCGGGGCTTACAAGGAGGGGCTCTGGCGGGTGGGCGGGGCTCAGGGAGGGGGGTTGGCAGGGTCGAGGGAGGGTGGGGCGACCGGAGGGGCGGCGCCAATCGATTGCAGGTGGGGCTGGGGAGGGGTGGGCGGGGCTTACAAGGGAGAGCATGGGTGGGTGGGGCTCGGGGAAGAGGGTTGGCAGGGTCGAGGGACGGGGAGGGGGGTCAGAGGATGAGGCGGCGCACAATCGATTGCAGGTGGGCGCTGGGGAGGGTGGGGAGGCTTACAAGGCGAGAGCATGGGTGGGTGGGTGGGGCTTGGGAGGAGAGGGTTGGCAGGGTTGAGAGGGGAGCTGGGAGGGGCGAGGCCAATGATTCGGGGTGGGGCTGGTTGAGAAGGTGGGCGGGGCATTAGAAGGGAGGGACCTTGGGCGCGTGGGCGGGGCTCAGGAGGGGGTTGGCAGGGTTGAGGGAGGGGAGGGGCAGAGAGTGGGCGGAGCCAATTGAGTGAGGCTGGGGCTGGTGAGGGGTGGGCGGGCGTCTAGAAGGAGGGGCCGTGGGGCGGGGGGGCGGGGTCAGGAGGGGTCGGGTTAGGCAGGGTTGAGGGGAGGAGAGGGGGGGTGGGCGAGCAATTGACGTGAGGCTGGGGCTGGTGAGGGATGGTGCGACGGGCTTAGAAGAGGGGCCTGGGCGGGTGGCGGCGGCGGCTCAGGGAGGGGGTTGGCAGGGTTGAGGGAGGGGTGGGGCTGGGAGGCGCGGGGCTCCCCGGCCTGGGCGCGTGGGGCGGCGCTGGCCCCTGCCCCAACCCCCCGGCTCTTTCCCAGGCCTTTCCAACAAACTGTTCGCGACTTTCCGAGAATCTGTGGAATCAGCATCAAGCAGGCCCCGCGCGTCGGGCCGGCCGGGGAGCACCGCCTGGTCACCGTCACCAGGACAGACAACCAGATCCTGGTGGGTGCGGGACCCCCAGGGCGGGGCGGCCGGGCGGGGCGCGCGGGGCGCTGAGGCCGAGGCCTTGCAGGAGGCCGAGTTCCCGGGGCTGCCCGAGGCGCTGTCCTTCGTGGCGCTCGTGGACGGCTACTTCCGGCTGACCGCGGACTCGCGGCACTTCTTCTGCAAGGAGGTGGCCCCGCCGCGGCTGCTGGAAGAGGTGGCCGAGCAGTGCCACGGCCGCCATCCACGAAGGACCCACCGTGCCCGTCTCCTCCACAAAGAGAAACCACCCGGGGGGTCGGCTGTCCGCTGCCAGGGCGCCGCTCTCCTCCCTTGCCCTGCCGCCCCAGGGCCCCTCCTGCACGTGCACGAGCCGCCCGGCGTCACCTCGGCCTCTTTTTTTTTTCTTTTTTATTGATTGATTGATTGATGAATGGAGATCTCGCTCTGCTGCCAGGGCTCAGAGTTGCTGTGGTTCCAGCCTCAGCTTCACAGCAAACCTCCACTCCTGGGCCTCAAGCGATCCCTCCAGCCCTCAGCCTATCCGAGTAGCTCGGGACTACAGCATGCACACCACGGACCCGGCCTCATATTTTTCTGTAATATTTTTAGAGTTGCCATCTAATGTCTTTCTACTTTTAGTAGAGATGCAAGGGCGTCTCGCTCTTGCTCAGGCTGGTCTCGAACTCCTGAGCTCAAACGATCCTCCCGCCTCGGCCTCCCAGAGTGCAGGGATGACAGGCGTGAGCCTCCGCGCCCGGCCACCCATGGCCTCTTATCTAGCCTCCCAGGGAGAGGCCGAGACTCTGGGCTGGTTCTATAGACGGCGGAGGGGCGGGCGTTGCCTGGCGAGGACCCCAGAGGGACCAGGACTTGAACCCCGGTCTCTCTGTCGCTCTCCGTCTTTCGCTGGCCCCTCTGTTCCCTCCGCCTTTCCCCGCAGTCTGGATTTCGCCGTGCACAAGCTCAAGGCCGCAGGCTCTCGGCCGGGCTCCTACGTGCTCCGCCGCAGCCCGCAGGACTTCGACAGCTTCCTCCTCACCGTCTGCGTCCAGGTGGGTGCGAGGCCGGGGCGGAGCGGGAGGGCGTGGCCGGGGCGGAGTGGGAGGGCGTGGCCAGGGCGGAGCGGGAGGGCGTGGCCGGGGCGGAGTGGGAGGGCGTGGCCAGGGCGGAGCGGGAGGGCGTGGCCAGGGCGGAGCGGGAGGGCGTGGCCAGGGCGGAGCGGGAGGGCGTGGCCAGGGCGGAGCGGGAGGGCGTGACCAGGGCGGAGCGGGAGGGCGTGGCCAGGGCGGAGTGGGAGGGCGTGGCCAGGGCGGAGTTGGAGGGTGTGGCCAGGGTGGAGGGTAGGGCGTGGCCAGGGTGGAGGGGGCGTGGCCAGGCCGGAGGGGAGGGCGTGGTCAGGGCGGAGGGGGCGTGGTCAGGGCGGAGGGGAGGCCGTCGCCAAGGCGGAGGGGGAGGGCTCCCTGGAGGAGGTGACATTGGAGTTGAGGCCTGAAAGCTGTGTCAGCATTTGCTCCCGGAGGAAGGGGAGGGAAAAGATATTCCCTGGGAAGGGAACGGCATGTGCAAAGGCCCAGAGGTTGGAAAGAACTTTCGGTGCTTTAGAAAGGGAGTGAAGGCCGGGCGCGGTGGCTCACACCTGTCATCCCAGCACTCTGGGAGGCTGAAGCGGGAGGATCGCTCAAGGTCAGGAGTTTGAGACCAGCCTGAGCAAGAGCGAGATCCCATCTCTACTATAAATAGAAAGAAATTAATTGGCCAACTGAAAATATATGGAAAAAATGAGCCGGGCATGGAGGCGCATGCCTGTGGTCCCAGCTACTCGGGAGGCTGAGGCAGGAGGATCGCTTGAGCCCAGGAGTCTGAGGTTGCTGTGAGCGAGGCTGACGCCACGGCACTCACTCTAGCCCGGGCAGCAAAGTGAGACTCTGTCTCAAAAAAAAAAAAAAAAAGAAAAGAAAAGAAAACAAAGGTGATGTGTTGGCTCACGGGGTGGAGTGTGGGCTGCAGGCATGGCTAGATCCAGGAGCGGCTGTGTCTCAGCCCTGCATCTCGCCCCGTTCCTCTGGGTGGATTTCACTCTCAGACAAACCCCTCCCCTGAGACGATTCCGACATGCGGGTTCTCCGGAATGTCCCACCGTCCCTGGCCCGCCCGCGCTGAGCCCCGGTGGCGCCACAGTTCCACCCGCTTCTTGGCGCCTCCTGCAGGGACCCTTCCCTCCCAGTCTCACGTCCCTAACGCCCGTTGGGGCGTCCTGGGGTCTCCTTTCAAATGAACCGCGTGGCCTGGGGTCCCCACCTCGGGGTCAGCTTCTAGGGGTGGTGACACCCAAACGACGGCAAGGGGTGGGCCGGCCCCTGGGGACCTGTCGCCTCTGACCTCCGTCTTGTTCTGGCCCCCGTGCTCTGGCGCCAGAAAAGTCCAACCTGATCGTGGTCCGGAGCGGCTGCAGCCCGTCCACCTCGGCCCCCGCTCAGCCCCAGTCCCAGCGCCAGCTGAGCCAGATGACGTTCCACAAGATCCCCGCGGACAGCCTGCAGTGGGTACGGGGGGCCCTCAGTGCGGGCGCAGAGACGGGGTCCGTGTGTGTGTGTCTCCAGGCCGCCCTCCTTTGCCTCTGTCTTCCCGTCTGTAAAATGGGCCCAAGCGCCTCCCTGCGTCTCCCTTGGGCTGGGGGGCCGGGGCCTGGGAAGCTGTGGGAGCCGCCCCCGCCCCCACCCTGCCACCACAGCGGCCTCTCTTGATGTCACCTTGGCCACCAGCATGAGAACCTGGGCCACGGGTCCTTCACCAAGATTTACCGGGGCTGTCGCCGGGAGGCCGTGGACGGCGAGGCCCGGGACACGGAGGTACTGCTGAAGGTGCTGGACGCCAAGCACAAGAACTGCATGGAGGTGAGCGGCCGCCGCGGCCGGAACTTTCCGGGCAGGACCGGCTGGAGGCGGGCCGTGGACGCAGAGAAAGTTGAAAGACATACAAGAGTCTGGAAGCAACAGACGCGCGGCCGCCGCCGGGCTGAGCCGGAAGTGTGAAAGGATGGGGTGGGGGGGTTTGATGCCAACAGGAAATACGCCAGTGAGCGGGCCGGCCAGTGCAAAGGCCCTGGGGCAGGGCTGAGCCTGGCAGGTGCGAGGAGCGTGGGGGAGGCCAGTGGGGGAGGCCAGTGGGGGAGGCCAGTGGGGGAGGCCGGCGGGCGGGCTGGCTGGGGGAGGGGCAGGGAAGAGGCGAGCACTGTGGCTGAAGACCGCGGGAGGGGTCGGACCGCTCACGGGAAGGCTCAGCCCTTGTCCACGCCCAAATCTCCCACTTATATGTGAGAGACCAGAGGTGGGCCAGAGTGCGGCTTCCATCCCGCATGAGAAAATGGTGAAGGGCCGGGCGCGGGGCTCACGCCTGTCACCCCAACACTCTGGGAGGCCGAGGCGGGAGGATCGCTCCAGGTCAGGAGTTCGAGAGCAGCCTGAGCAAGAGCGAGACCCCGTCTCTAAAAAATTTTAAAAATGAGCCGGGCATGGTGGCGCATGCCTGTAGTCCCAGCTACCCGGGAGGCTGAGGCAGAAGGATCACTCGAGCCCAGGAGTCTGAGGCTGCTGTGAGGGAGGCTGATGCCACGGCACTCACTCTAGCCTGGGCAACAAAGCAAGACTCCGTCTCAAAAAAAACAATTATAAAAAAACAAAATCGCGATGCGGTGTGGCGCGCTGACGGCGCTGTGTCCTCCTTCCCTCCCGCCCTGCCCAGTCGTTCCTGGAGGCCGCGAGCTTGATGAGCCAAGTGTCCTACCCGCACCTCGTGCTGCTCCCACGAGGCCAAGTTGTGAGAATCAGGGCTGGGAGCGGCGGCCTCACGCTGTTGCATCCCAGCCACTCTGGGCAGGACCTGAGGCTCACGTGAAGAATCGCTCAAGGGTCAGGGGGTTCAACGGCCAGCCTGAGCCAAGGAGCGCAGACCCCGTCTCTACTGTAAATAGAAAGAAATTAAGGTTCGGCCCAAAGCTAACGCTATTATATAGGAAAATTCGCGGGGCGTGCGTGGGCGCATGGCCCTGTAGGCCCAGCTACTCGTGGACGGCTGAGGCAGGAGGCATCGCTTGTTAGCCCAGGAGTCCTGGATGTGGGGTGGGGTGGTTGCTGTTTGGAGCGAGGCTGACGCCACCGGCCCACTCATTCTAGGGCCGGGTGTGCCGACAGAGACTCTTGTATCCAAAAAAAAAAAAGTCGTGAACCAGGCCGGCGGACGCGACGAGGCACATTG